CGAAACGTTTCCTTTAATAAATGTCCTGAACTGTACATAAGTGTCTTTTTCCACAAGGCTAGGTTACACAATTTGTCTTGGCTCATTGTTGAACGGAGCTGGTTTTTCATTCTTTTCAAAACAGAAAATGAACGTTCTCCTTCACAGTTAGTAGCTGGAAGTGTTAGGTAAAGGCGATACACTATGTCAACATTAGGGAAGGTTTCTGAGATACCTGCATTTCTTAAATGTTTCAAAGCAGCTGAGGGTGCACATTTTTCAGGTGGAGCTTTAATCTGATTCATATACCCAGAAAAATTAACTATTTCTTCAACAAATGTGTCCTGAACATCTGCTGAAAGGTGTTGTTGCAACTTTAATGCAGCTTCTCTCAATTCTGCATCTGGCATAGTAGTTACTTTGAACAGAAATCCAAACTTGTCATTGAGATTCTGGTAGATTTCTTTTCTTTTCACCAATTCTGTAATCAGTGAATCCAGAATGACGAAGTATGTAGCTGTCTTACATTTCTGCCTTGGTAGCAACACAATTTCATTGTCTGGCTCTTCAAAATTGCGTTTCCTCTTCCTTGACCGCTGATGATCAGCCCGGTAACTGTAGTCTTTCACCAGCAGTTTAGCTTTCTCTTCAAACATTTCAAAAGCTTCATCATTGCGAAGTGAGCTTACAAATTCCACTAAGCCTGCATAGAGGTTAGCACAAGTAGCCATTTCAATTTCAATTTTCTGAAGTGTCTTGTTCGTGGCATTTAACCGTTCCAGTATACAGTCCCAAAGCACACAGAGTAAGGCCAATTCATAATCTTCCAATTTTGATGCTAAGCTGGCTGCTTCGGTTCTTGTAGTTGCTGTCTGGTCTTCATCCTCTGCTATTTGGATCAAAGCAGAACGTATTTCAGCAAAGCTGTCTTTCAAAGCATGTGTTGCATCATGCTGCGCTGACCACCTTGTTGTTGATAATGATTTCATGACATCTCCATGAATGGTTGACTTGAGTATACTCCACCGATGCGTTGAAGCAGAGAAAAAATTAAAGAGTGCTTGTAAAAGTCCAAAAAATGAAACTGCAGCGACACAACACTCCGCAGCACATGACCCAACAAGATTAAGAGAATGTGCTGAGCAGGGCACATATTCAACAAGTGGGTTGATTTGCTTGATACGGGCTTGCAATCCATTATATTTACCCGACATGTTACTTGCATTGTCGTAGCTCTGGCCACGGCAATCCATAATAGAGAGATCATGTTCAAGCAGAGTATCCAGTACTACATTCATCATTGTTTCTCCATCATGGCCTGAAAGAGGAATGAATTTTATAAAGCACTCTACAGGCTTACCACTGGAGTCGACAAAGCGAACAATGAATGTCAATTGATCTGTATGTGAAATATCTGGTGTTGAATCTACACTTATTGCAAAGTATTTTGCAGTTTTCACAGCTGCTATGATGTTATTGAGGACCTTCTTAGTCATCAGTTCAATAAATTCATTGCATATAGTAGATGACATGTAAGATACAGTGCCTCTTCCTGCATTCCCAAGGTGTGACACATGATTTGCTAAGAATGGATCGAATTGTGTTAACATTCTATGATCCCTAGGAAATTGCCATTGTTTTCCGAACCAAAAACCTCATTTTCTCCACGGAAAGCAAGTCCTCTTAGAGCTAAGAATTTTACAACAGCAACAACTCTTTCTAGAACTTTTCTCCAATAAGTGCGCTCTTTTTCAGTTTGATTTTCCAAATGAGAATCCAATAAGCCTTTTTTCTGTGCACGAAATACACTGGCTAAAATGCAGCTCCTGTGAGTGGTGCTGTTTTCATGTTCCTCGAAACGCTTGGAATTTTTCCAGTCATTGAACCACTGTGTGAAGGTATTTTCTTTGGTAGAAAATAGCTTGCATGCTGAACAGTACACTTTTCCTGAGCTTTCAGAGTATACCATCCATGATCTTTTCATAGTTTCTGAATCTGCAAGCTTCCTATAAAACACAGATGACTTTAAACAACGACGACTTCCATCATCATAAATCCTTGCTGATTTCCTAAAGTCAATGTTCAGAGTTTGACTGAAGTTTTCTGCAATGAAAGCATTACGTAGAGAATCTGGGATTACATTTGGCCATGAGGCAGGATCTTTAAGACAAATCCTGTGGATGAAATGTTCGTTGAGACATTGAGAGGAGACACAAAAAGAATAGGATGCTGGCTGAGAAATAATGGAGGGAGGGCTTCCTGTATGATCTGACGTATCTGCAGATTCAACTGTACTGGTAACATCAGAAACTGTTTTCGTGAGCATGTCTGTGATCTTTCTGCAGCTTCCTACATCTTTCTTTTTCTGTTCTTCTTCTTGAATTTTCTTCTTTCTTTTCTGTGACCCACTCACATAAGAACGTCCAACATCACGTTCACGAGATGCCATAATGAGGATGTATCACTGTCTGTAATTATGCAAATACAAATTTTTCATTATCAATTATTATTATTTTTTTAATAATTATTAAATTTTTTTTCTGTCAATTGGGGGGATATGGCCCTTGTAGCCCCCTTTTCTCTGGCTGCGCATCTAAAAATTCAAAACGTTACCAGAAAGGAGCCATATACAGAACTTTTACCATAGATTAGGTTAGTGATTTGGGCTACGAATATTTTACTAATTCATCTTCCTTGATCTCCAATTTACTTGAACAGAAATCATACTGAGTCCAAGAACAATGCACAATGGTATTTATATTACCATTTTCATAACTAAACTAATCATTATGTTTTGCATGATATATGGCCTACCACCATAGATAAGGACATGAGAATTAAAGAATGCAGGGACAATTTTCAGTTTCACCCAACCAACGATTTTCTGATGTGGCTTATGTGTTTCTGGGGAAATATGTAGTAAATTAATTGATGTTCTACATCACTTCTGTCGCAACTTGAAAACTAAGCATTTGCGACGGAAGTGATGTAGAACATCAATCAATTGAGATCTGTTATTGAAATGATAAAGACTTAAAGACAGGACAAAGTGCTTTTAAAACCTACAAACGGAAGTCAGTTTGCGTTTTAGGTTTTTCTTTATAGTATTTTTACCAAAAATGCGTCTTTACTGGTCCATGCGTCTTTACTGGTCCATGCGTCTTTACTGGTCCATGCGTCTTTACTGGTCAAGTAACCCTATCAGGTACCTTCCTTAACATTTAGAGGCGAAAACAAACATTTATCCATACACATCAATGTCTATCAACAACACTTCAGTTAATTTGTCACAGTACAAGTCTAGATAACGTGTAATTACTACAGAAAATTGGAGAGGAATCTCCCATACTCACCCATTAGCGGGAAAACACAGCTGTTCTGATGTAAACAAAGGCGTGTTGAGTGTTGCCATCTATGGTTAGGTTTATTTATTTTTATTTTATTTTATTTCATTATTTTTGTTTTGATTAATTTTTAAAAATCAATTTTACTCTCCAAACACTTGAACTTTTTAGATAGGGACCCCTTTACACTTGCACCATGTGTGCAGTCTTGGATGAGCCCCTGAACCCCTTGGACTGCGGGGCCCCCAAACGTGCGGGGCCCTAGGCAAATGCCTAGTTTGCCTATGCGGTAATCCGGCCCTGGGTATCTTTATTGTAGACGTTTTACCATCCAGTGGCTTTATCAATACAAATTCCAGGACATAACTTGAAGACAGGAGAACTATGTACAGAAGACGAGGTAATCAGTCCCTCAACCTAGCAGTAGGTGCGAAGAGCATTGTAGTCGTGGAGATTCTCCACGACTACGGTGCTCTTCGCACCTACTGCTAGGTTGAGGGACTGATTACCTCATCTTCTGTACATAGTTCTCCTGTCTTCAAGCTATGTCCTGGAATTTGTATTGATAAAGCCACTGGATGGCGAAACGTCTACAATAAAGATACCCAGATGTTGCACATGTGTCTCAATTTCATCTTGTCGGTATTGTATACTATTCTTGTACAACTAGGACCCTCTGGAGCACTTTCCTCCAGGACAACACTAGCACCCTCAGCACTGTCCTTCAGGATAGCACTAGCCCCCCTCAAGAGCACTGTCCAAGACAGCCCCGTCCCCACCACCCATCTTTTTTTCCAGCTGTCATACCATGCTGACATGTCTTTCAAGAAGGATGTTTTATTAGTGTTCTTGTCTTTTAATATAGTTGTAATTTCTTCATACAGGTGTATGTCGTTTGGGCAGACCCAAAAACATCTCTCTGAGTTTATGTCAAGTGTGGTCACTAGTTTAAAATCCCTGCATACACTATGGGACCACTGACCACACAAATGGCAAGCAATCCAGGCCTGTCTTCGTCCCTTACCCTTTCTGCAGACTACACAGATCTTCATGGTGGTGGTCATCTTACAATACTGGACAACTCTCCTAGCTAGCTAGTCTATAATTCCCTGATGTATTTAATTTTTTGTAACAGTTCTTCCGATTTGGCTTTATTTCCAACGAGACCATTTGAATCCTGCTGAGTCCGGCTTTATTTCCACAAAAAGCGTTTGAATCCACCCGAATCCAGCGAAATCCGTTTGAATCTTCTCGAATCCAGCGAAACTGGAGGAATCCAGTGAAACTGGAGGAATCCAGTTAGTGGATCACTGTATTTCTCTTTTCTAATAACAACTTAACAGTAGATCTGTCTATTTGTATTGTAACTATTTGTTGTAGTTACTGTTTGAGTGTTTGATAGGGCGCATAGAGCCCCGTCAGTTAGTGAAACCAGTCAGAGGATACACTAGTGTATCGTAATACACTAGTGTACACTATACATACATACATACATGCACTATAATACACTAGTGTATTATAATACACTAGTGCATTGTTGTTGTATTATGAACTACATAATTTATTATTGTTGTATGATAAACTACAGTAGTGTATTATTCTTGTATAATGAACAACAGTAGTTGAAGTCCTGTCATCTAGTATTGTTAGTGTATTAACAAAGTTGTTTTGCTTCAGGTATCCGTGGAGGCTTCACTGGACCATCCCTTCTTTGTCTTCCACTCTGGCTGGTCCTCCTGCAGCCCAGAACTCACACATAAGAAGTATGACCTCAAAGTACGTCAGTTACAAGTTGGTGACGTGTGTGTCTCTCTCACCAAGAAGTCTCCTGAGGCTGACCCACCCACACCCACCCTGCCACCCCCGGCACCCACCCTGCCACCGGCAGCACCCACCCTGCCACCGGCAGCTCCCACCCTGCCACCGGCGGCGCCCACCCTGCCACCTCCGCTGCCCGCTTCGACCATCCAACTACCAGCTCCCACCACTGAAATATCCAGCCGGGTTACTGCTACTATCACCACCACGGCCGATAGTGCCACCCCCGGCTCCACCAGTGTTAAGGATGACCCACTGCTGTCCTTTCTAGGTGGGACCTCCAACGTGTGGAGTAAACCAGCGGCTTCCAGGACGACCGAAAGACAACATTCCAGTGATGAGGCACAGAAGGAAGAGAAGGAGTGTGGCCGCAAGCGACGCTGGTCTGACCCAGGACAAGCAACGTGACAGTTTACAGTACCGCAAGTAACACTGGTCTGACCCAGGACAAGCAGCATGACAGTTTACAGTACCGCAAGTAACACTGGTCTGACCCAGGACAAGCAGCATGACAGTTTACAGTACCACAAGTAACACTGGTCTGACCCAGGACAAGCAGCATGACAGTTTACAGTACCGCAAGTAACACTGGTCTGGCCCAGGACAAGCAGCATGACAGTTTGCAGTACCGCAAGTAACACTGGTCTGACCCAGGACAAGCAACATTGCTCTGACCCTGAACAAGCAACACTGCTCTGACCCAGAATAAGCACCACAACTCTGACCCAGGACAAGCGACACTGCTCTGAACTTACACAAGTAACATAACAGTGTTGAACACTACAAGCAACACTGCTCTGACCCAGAACAAGCAATACTGCTCTGACCCAGAACAAGCAACACTGCTCTGAACTTACACAAGCAACATAATATTGAACACTACAAGCACCAATGTTCTGACCCAGAACAAGCACCACTCACTGAACCTTACACAAGCAACACAACAGTGTTGAGCACTACAAGCTTCACCATTATCTTGGAGACTGTCAGCGTATATACACTTGGAAGTGCGTCTCGGTAGACATATCGAGAGTATAATTAAACTTTTCTTTCACGTATTACAATAATTTTTGACTGGTTGTTTGCAGGTGACAGTCAGCCTTAATGACCCTCGTGTAGTAGATAGATTTGAAGCCTAACCAACCCACCAACCACACGTCGTTCAAGTTACGCTACCCGAAGGTGGGTTAGTTGTGAATTGTTACGAGAATAATATTTTGTGTTTGTGATGTGTTCCAGCCACGATATTGTAGATTGTTTTTAAATTGTTCTTGCCACGATTTTGTGGGTTAGTTGTGAATTGTTCCAGCCACTGTATTGTGGCTTAGGTGTGAATTGTTCCAGCCGTAGTACTGTGGCTTAGGTGTGAATTGTTCCAGTCATGGTATTGTGGCTTAGTTCTGAAATTTTCCAGCCACGGTATTGTGACTTAGTTTTGAATTGTTCCAGCCACGGAATTGTAGGTTAATTGTGAATTGACTACGTTCCTCATAGATACAAAAAAAAATACACTGTTCCCTTCATACTATAAGCACAGTGTATACATAATCTAAGTATAGTGTATACATGCAACCTAAAATGTATAATTTTTTTTTTGTACTGACGATGTTAATATATTGGTTATTTGGGTTAAATGTCGAAATTCAATTTTTTTTATTCTATTTCAGATTGTTATGTTCATCAGCAAAATTTTTGAAAATTTTGGCTGATGCTGCTAGTCTGCTATGAGCCAGTCAGTGGTCATCTGACCTCTCATGTGACTGAGGTCTTCCTTAACTCTGTCTACTACACGATAGATTGGTAATGGGGTTTCAAGTCTGTCTACTACACGAAGGTCATTAAGGATGCATGATACCTGTACACCATCAGTCAAGGATACTTTAATACCTAAAATAGTGATTAATGCGAACTACCAGTGTATATACACTGAGATATACACATATCAGTGTATATACACTGGCTTATATACACCTCTACGTGTATATACACTGAGAAATATACCCCTCAAGTGTATTACAGATACAGTGTATGGCTTTTATAACATGTTACTGAATTCACATGGTAGATATTTGTCAGTCATACTGGACGTGACCAAACATTGTACACTGCTGGCACTACACGAGTTCCTTCTATGACATGGTAAAGCCAGTTGTTGACTCAGGAGATGCTTAGTGTAGGGGAGGAGGTAGGTTAGGTTTATTTATTTGTTTATTTATTTTTTATTTATAAATTTTAGCATACATACAGAGGTACAAAAAAATACAGGTAAGAGCAGCATGCCAAAGCCACTTATATGCATAGCATAGGTTTGTCAGGAAACAAGACAAGTGTTTCCTGAAGCGGATTTTAGTCATATGATGACCCACAGCTGAAGATTTTGGTCATCTGACCGAGGTCTTCCACTGGCTTACCCCGCACCATTATTAAAAATTTACCTGCTTGTAGTCAAGGTGGTCCACTTGACTTGATTGGGAAATTAGTCAATTTACTCTTTAGTAAGTTAACTTAGATACAATTTTGCATAATTTCTGGATGATTATAATAGTCTTACACAGTAATATGTGTGTTCATTATTGAGGATAACACATGAAAGTCAGAAAAAAATAATTTATATCTAGTGATATCCTTACCTGGGACCCTATTTTTTATAATTTCAGCCTATAACTGGGTAAAATTATTTCCCCGTGTGTACACTCAGTGTACACTGGTTTCATGGTGACAATCGGGAAGAAATGGAGGATAAGAAACGAGAAAGATATAGTGGCAGCAAGGTGATTGGACAGGCTAAATAAAAAGTGAGGTTTACTTTCCCTTAACATTAACACTACAGACTGAGGTAAAGTGTGGCCCTATATACCAACTTCCCTCAAGGGAGGGTCCTTGAAACTGGTGAAGGGCTCTTGAAATTGATCTGTGCTCTGGTTCCCTGAATTGAGCCTGAATATCTTCCATCACCTGCACGTGCACTGTATAACCCTACGGGTTTAGCGCTCCTCCATGATTATAATAATATATACCAACTGGGGAAATTGTGTATGGACTGCCTCCTCGTGAGATGCTCACCCTAGCAAATACTGTTGACACGACACCCTCACATTAGTAGTCTCAGTTTCACAAGTGGCTTGTAGGACACATTTCCATATGCAAACTGATCTTGCAAGAAATTCCTAACTACATGCAAAAACAAGTGTTTCCTTGTTTTTGGCGAAGAATATGCTACTAGAAAGCCCCCTGATTCTACCAAAGCAAACCTAGGTACCTCTGGTCCCTCTCCAGGACACCACCTGCACTGAAGGACTTAACATAAGAACATAAAAAAAGAAGGAACACTGCAACAATCCTACTGACCCATGCGGAGCAGGTCCATGCCACCACCACCCCCCCGGATTATCCCAATGATCCCCCCCCCAGATTAGCCCAATGACCCACCCAGTCTGGTCACCCACTCAATGAAGGAGCACGGCACCAAACCCAGCAGCACAAGCTAGTCAGGTCCAACTCACTCCCACCCACACCCACTCATGTATTTATTCCTGCAAGAATTTAGATGGTATTAGTATCCCCTGCCTGCACCTTAAAGATCCCTGAATTCAGTGGATATTCCCTCAGTAATATTTATGTAGTAAGACACTAGCTTCTAGGCTAATACTTAAGATTATTATTATAATCAAGAGGGAAGCGCTAAACCCGGAGGATTATACAGTGACTCACGAAATCGTAATGACACGATTGCAAACAAACCATACCCCGGCCAGGATTGAACCTGCGGTCAGAGAGTCTCAAAACTCCAGACCGTCGCGTTAGCCACTAGACCAGCTAGCCACAATAAGATTCGTCCAACTAGGTATATTTCTACACCATAGGAAGGTTAGCACAGGCACCACTCTGACCACAAATGCAAGTTTTTACAGACGAATCTCCAGCTAGCGTGGCTGTGACGAACTCTAGCTCAAGTCCCTTCACTGTGGCAAGCTGGTCTAGTGGCTAACGCGACGGGCTGGAGTTTTGAGACTCTCTGACCACGGGTTCAATTCCGGCCGGGGTATGGTTTGGATTATACAGTGCCTGGGGGGGGGGATGTGGAAGGCATTCAGGCTTAATTCGGGGAACTGGAGCACAGATCCAATTCCCTAAATCAAGAGCCCCTCACCAACATCAAGGAACCTTCCTTGAGGGGTAATACTTAAGAGAAGATGCCCACAATCTTACCAGATCTGTGGGTGTTCGCCCACTAATAACCCGCAGTTCAAATAACCCACGTTCCTCAGAATATTGCTGGCCAACTATACTAAGAGAAGTGAAAGGTATTGTCTTACTGAAGGGGCCTGAATAGAGACAAATATCCTCAGTACTTTGGGAAACCTCTATGTTTTTTAGTTCCACAGACCAAGTATTTTGAAAACATGTGAGGCACCGAGGTGTAGCTCTCAGTACCTAGTTATCACCACGGTTTCTAGTCGAGAACAATGTGCTGTCATCTGTCTGACCCCCTCCTGCCTACATTCAAGCATGGGGTTGCTAGTTCACCTTATCTAACCTAATATTCGCCTATATTAAGGTCTAAGCCTACCTATATTAAGGTTTAAGGCTACATTATTAATTCTAATATTTGTTACTAACAGTATAAACCTACCTATACCTCCTTAAAGGGTAAATCTATAAATTGGTATGTACAAACTCAATGCCTTCGCCATCTAGTGCTTGTTTGGGTGGATGATAATGGCTCCTAAAGCTTATTTACAGTGAATCCGTCCGTGGAATTTCTTTGAGACCAAATAAATTTCCACACCAACACTAAGTGAAGTGTGGCCATATATACCAACACCAGGTGAAATGTGTATACCTAGAGAGGATTTCGGGGGTCAGCGCCCCCGTGGCCCAGTCTGAGACCGAGCCTTATGGCGAATCAGGGCCTGATCAACCAGACTGTTGCTGTTGGCTGCATGTAAAACCGACATAGGAACCACAGCCTGGCTGATCAGGTATTGACTTTAGGTGCCTGTCAAGTGCCTTCTTGAAGACAGCCAGGAGTCTATTGGTAATCCCGGTTATGTATGCTGGGAGGCAGATGAACAGTCTTGGGCCCCTGACACTTACTGTGTTGTCTCTTAGTATACTCGTGGTGCCCCAGTTTTTCACTATGGGGATGAACTATGGGAAGTGATTTCTGTGTGTAGATTTGGTAGTAATCTATCTAGGACTTTCCAAGTTTATATTATCTGGAGACCTGGAGAGAGTTCCAGGGGTCAACGCCCCCACGGCCCGGTCTGTGACCAGGAGCCTGATCAACCAGGCTGTTGCTGCTGGCTGCATGCAAACCAACGTACGAGCCACAGCCCGGCTGGTCAGGAACCGACTTTAGGTGCTTGTCCAGTGCCAGCTTGAAGACTGCCAGGGGTCTGTTGGTAATCCCCCTTATGTATGCTGGGAGGCAGTTGAACAGTCTCGGGCCCCTGACACTTATTGTATGGTCTCTTAACGTGCTAGTGACACCCCTGCTTTTCATTAGGGGGATGTTGCATCATCTGCCAAGTTTTTTGCTTTCGTAGTGAGCGATTTTCGTGTGCAAGTTCGGTACTAGTCCCTCTAGGATTTTCCAGGTGTATATAATCATGTATCTCTCCCGCATGCATTCCAGGGAATACAGGTTTAGGAACCTCAAGCGCTCCCAGTAATTGAGGTGTTTTATCTCCGTTATGCGTGCCGTGAAGGTTCTCTGTACATTTTCTAGGTCAGCAATTTCACCTGCCTTGAAAGGTGCTGTTAGTGTACAGCAATATTCCAGCCTAGATAGAACAAGTGACCTGAAGAGTGTCATCATGGGCTTGGCCTCCCTAGTTTTGAAGGTTCTCATTATCCATCCTGTCATTTTTCTAGCAGATGCGATTGATACAATGTTATGGTCCTTGAAGGTGAGATCCTCCGACATGATCACTCCCAGGTCTTTGACGTTGGTGTTTCACTCTATTTTGTGGCCAGAATTTGTTTTGTACTCTGATGAAGATTTAATTTCCTCGTGTTTACCATATCTGAGTAATTGAAATTTCTCATCGTTGAACTTCATATTGTTTTCTGAAGCCCACTGAAAGATTTGGTTGATGTCCGCCTGGAGCCTTGCAGTGTCTGCAATGGAAGACACTGTCATGCAGATTTGGGTGTCATCTGCAAAGGAAGACACGGTGCTGTGGCTGACATCCTTGTCTATGTCAGATATGAGGATGAGGAACAAGATGGGAGCAAGTACTGTGCCTTGTGGAACAGAGCTTTTCACCGTAGCTGCCTCGGACTTTACTCTGTTGACGACTACTCTCTGTGTTCTGTTAGTGAGGAAATTATAGATCCATCAACCGACTTTTCCTGTTATTCCTTTAGCACGTATTTTGTGCACTATTACGCCATGGTCACACTTGTCGAAGGCTTTTGCAAAGTCTGTATATATTACATCTGCATTCTTTTTGTCTTCTAGTGCATTTAGGACGTTGTCGTAGTGATCCAATAGTTGAGACAGACAGGAGCGACCTGTTCTAAACCCATGTTGTCCTGGGTTGTGTAACTGATGGGTTTCTAGATGGGTGGTGATCTTGCTTCTTAGGACCCTTTCAAAGATTTTTATGATATGGGATGTTAGTGCTATTGGTCTGTAGTTCTTTGCTGTTGCTTTACTGCCCCCTTTGTGGAGTGGGGCTATGTCTGTTGTTTTTAGTAACTGTGGGACAACCCCCGTGTCCATGCTCCCTCTCCATAGGATGGAAAAGGCTCGTGATAGGGGCTTCTTGCAGTTCTTGATGAACACTGAGTTCCATGAGTCTGGCCCTGGGGCAGAGTGCATGGGCATGTCATTTATTGCCTGTTCCAAGTCATTTGGCGTCAGGATAACATCGGATAGGCTTGTGTTAATCAAATTTTGTGGCTCATAAAAAATTCATTTTGATCTTCGACTCTCAGTCTGGTTAGCGGCTTGCTAAAAACTGAGTCATATTGGGACTTGAGTAGCTCACTCATTTCCTTGCTGTTATTATTATTATTATTATTACAATCAAGGGGGAAGCGCTAAACCCGGAGGATTATACAGTGCCTGGGGGGGGATGTGGAAGGCATTCAGGCTTAATTTGGGGAACTGGAGCACAGATCCAATTCCCTAAATCAAGAGCCCCTCACCAACATCAAGGAACCTTCCTTGAGGGGTTTTCCTTGCTGTCATCTGTGTAGAACCCATCTTGTTTAAGTAGGGGCCCAATACTGGACATTGTTCTCGACTTTGATTTGGCATAGGAGAAGAAATACTTTGGGTTTCTTTCGATTTCATTTATGGCTTTTAGTTCTTCCTGCGATTCCTGACTCCTATAAGATTCCTTTAGCTTAAGTTCGATGCTTGCTATTTCTCTGACCAGTGTCTCCCTACGCATTTCAGATATATTGACCTCTTTTAGCCGCTCTGTTATTCTTTTCCGTCACCTGTAAAGGGAGCGCCTGTCCCTTTCTATTTTACATCTACTCCTCCTTTTTCTTAGAGGAATAAGCCTTGTGCATACATCGAGTGCCACCAAGTTAATCTGTTCTAGGCATAAGTTGGGGTCTGTGTTGCTTAGTATATCTTCCCAGCTTATATCGGTTAGGACTTGGTTTATTTGGTCCCACTTTATGTTTTTGTTATTGAAGTTGAATTTGGTGAATGCTCCCTCGTGACTAGTCTCATTATGTCGGTCTGGGGCTCCACACATACATGTCTGAACCTCAATTATGTTGTGATCTGAGTATATTGTTTTTGATATGGTGACATTTCTTATCAGATCATCATTGTTAGTGAAGATGAGGTCTAGTGTATTCTCCAGTCTAGTAGGCTCTATTATTTGCTTGTTTAAATTGAATTTTGTGCAGAGATTTAAAAGCTCGTGTGAGTGTGAGTTTTCATCAGAGCTGCCTCCTGGTGGTATCTTTCTTGCCTGTATTTCTGAAAATACAAGTCAAGGGAATTCAACTGTTCTCAGTTATTTAAATGTTTTATTATACTTATGTTTACCATAAAGGCTCTCAGTACATTCTCCAGGTCAGCAGTTTTGCCTGCTTTGAAAGAGGCCATTAGTGTATAGCAATATTCCAGCCTAGAGAGAACAAGCAATTTGAAGAGAATCATTATGGGCTTGGCATCCCTAGTTTTGAAGGTTCTCATTATCTTTATTATTATCACACTGGCCGATTCCCACCAAGGCAGGGTGGCCCGAAAAAGAAAAACTTTCACCATCATTCACTCCATCACTGTCTTGCCAGAAGGGTGCTTTACACTACAGTTTTTAAACTGCAACATTAACACCCCTCCTTCAGAGTGCAGGCACTGTACTTCCCATCTCCAGGACTCAAGTCCGGCCTGCCGGTTTCCCTGAATCCCTTCATAAATGTTACTTTGCTCACACTCCAACAGCACGTCAAGTATTAAAAACCATTTGTCTCCATTCACTCCTATCAAACACGCTCACGCATTGCCTGCTGGAAGTCCAAGCCCCTCGCACACAAAACCTCCTTTACCCCCTCCCTCTAACCCTTCCTAGGCCGACCCCTACCCCCCCTTCCTTCCACTACAGACTGATACACTCTTGAAGTCATTCTGTTTCGCTCCATTCTCTCTACATGTCCGAACCACCTCAACAACCCTTCCTCAGCCCTCTGGACAACAGTTTTGGTAATCCCGCACCTCCTCCTAACTTCCAAACTACGAATTCTCTGCATTATATTCACACCACACATTGCCCTCAGACATGACATCTCCACTGCCTCCAGCCTTCTCCTCGCTGCAACATTCATCACCCACGCTTCACACCCATATAAGAGCGTTGGTAAAACTATACTCTCATACATTCCCCTCTTTGCCTCCAAGGACAAAGTTCTTTGTCTCCACAGACTCCTAAGTGCACCACTCACTCTTTTTCCCTCATCAATTCTATGGTTCACCTCATCTTTCATAGACCCATCCGCTGACACGTCCACTCCCAAATATCTGAATATGTTCACCTCCTCCATACTCTCTCCCTCCAATCTGATATTCAATCTTTCATCACCTAATCTTTTTGTTATCCTCATAACCTTACTCTTTCCTGTATTCACCTTTAATTTTCTTCTTTTGCACACCCTACCAAATTCATCCACCAATCTCTGCAGCTTCTCTTCAGAATCTCCCAAGAGCACAGTGTCATCAGCAAAGAGCAGCTGTGACAACTCCCACTTTGTGTGTGATTCTTTATCTTTTAACTCCACGCCTCTTGCCAAGACCCTCGCATTTACTTCTCTTACAACCCCATCTATAAATATATTAAACAACCATGGTGACATCACACATCCTTGTCTAAGGCCTACTTTTACTGGGAAAAAATTTCCCTCTTTCCTACATACTCTAACTTGAGCCTCACTATCCTCGTAAAAACTCTTCACTGCTTTCAGTAACCTACCTCCTACACCATACACTTGCAACATCTGCCACATTATCTATCCTATCATTTTTCTAGACGTGGTAGACACATTGTTATGGTCTATGAAGGTGCGATCCTCTGACATTATCATTCCCAGGTCCTTCACATTAGTTTTCCACTTTATTGTGTGGTTGGAATTTGTTTTATACTCTAATATAGTTTTAATTTCCTCAAGTTTTTCCATATCAGAGCAATTGAACATTTTCTTCATTGAACTTCATATTATTTTCTGAGGTCCATTTAAAGATTTGCTTGATGTCTGCTTGGAGTCTTGAAGTGTCATCGATAGAAGACACTCATGCAAAATTGAGTGTCATCCACAAAGGAAGACATGGAGCTGTGGCTTACATCTCTGTCTGTGTCAGGTATGAGGATGTGGAACAGGATGGGGGTGAGTACTGTGCCTAGTGGAACAGAGCTTTTCACTGTAGCCACCTCAGACTTTACTCTGTTTATTATTACTCTTTGTGTTCTGTTTGTTAGGAAGTTATAAATCCATCTCCTAATTTTTCCTGTTATTCCTTAACACATTTAGGGCACTATTACACCATGATCGCACCTGTCAAAGGCTTTTGCAAAATCTGTATATACTGTACTATGTTTGCATTTTGTTTGCCCTCTTAGAGTATCCAAGACCTTGTCAAAGTGGTCCAGGCAGGAGCAGCCTGCTCTAAACCCATGTTGCCCTGGGTTATGTAACTGATGGATATCTAAGAACCCTTTCAAAGATTTTTATATGCGATGTTAGCACTATCAGTCTGTAATTCTTTGCTATTGCTCTACTACCCCCTTTGTGGAGTGGGGCAATGTTGTTTTAAGTGACTGTGGGATGACCCCTGTGTCCATTCTCCCTCTCCATGGAATGCTAAAGGCACGTGACAGGGGCTTCTTGCAGTTTTTGACAGAGTTTCACAAGTTTGGGAATGGGACAGAGTGCATGGGCATTTCATTTATTGTCTTTTCAAAGTCTTGTGGTGTTAGGATAATGTCAGAGATTTTTTAATTGACAAAATTTTGAGTCTCAGTCATAAAAAATCATTTAGATTGTTGATTTTTAGTCTGGTTAATGGCTCACTAAACACTGAGTCATATTGGGACTTTTGTATCTCACTCATTTCTTTGCTGTCACCTGTCTAAGCAGGGGTCAAATACTGGATGTTGTTTTCCCCTTAGATCTGGCATAAGAATAGAAATATTTTGGGTTTCAGTTTCATATATGGCTTTAAGCTCTTCTTGATTTTCTTGTCTCCTGTATGATTCCTTATGCATAAGTTCGATATTTGCTATTTCTCTGACCAGTGCCTCCCATCCTATTTCAGATATACAGTGGAGCCTCTACTTGCGAGTTTAATCTGTTCCATGACCTTGCTTGCAACTGGATTTACTCGTTTGCAGAGTCAATTTTCCTCATTTAAATTAATTGAAATGCAATTAATCTGTTCCAGTGGAATTCTGTACTTCAATAATTTCACTAATATCAACTCTACGGCTTATTTATCCATCTCACTTCATCTAATATGACATAATAAACAATATAAATAACATAGAAACCTGATATATACTCTACAATGAATAAAATATGTCATTCATGTAGTGATATGGGCGGTGTCAGGGCCGACCAGAGTTTGTCTGGAGACAGGACAACATACTTCTTGAATATTTCGCTATCATTAACTCTACCTGGAGTTTACCTGGAGAGAGTTCCGGGGGTCAACGCCCCCGCGGCCCGGTCTGAGACCAGGCCTCCTGGTGGATCAGAGCCTGATCAACCAGGCTGTTGCTGCTGGCTGCACGCAAACCAACATACGGCCCTCCCCGGCTGTGGGGAACTGACTTTGGTGCTTGTCCGTGCAGCTTGAAACTGCAAGGGGTTTTTTGGTAATCCCCCTTATGTGGCGGGGAGGCAGTTTGAACAGTTCGGGCCCCTGACCTTATTGTAGGTCTTTTAACGTGCTAGTAAACCCCTGCTTTCTTGGGGGGATGTCTGTTGCCAAGTCTTTTGCTTTCGAAAGTGGGGATTTTCGTGTGCAAGTTCGGTATAGTCCCTCTAGGATTTTCCCAGGTTAATAATCATGTATCCCCCCTCCTGCGTTCCCGGGGGAATACAGGTTTGGGAAACCCTCAAGGCCCCCAAAAATTTGAGGGTTTTTATCTCCTTTTGCGCGCCGTGAAAGTTCTCTGTACATTTTCTAGGTCGGCAATTTCACCTGCCGAAAGGTCTGTTGTGTGCGCAAATTTTTCCACCCTGATAGAAAAAAAAGGACTGAAGAGTGTATCAGGGGCTTGGCCTCCCTAGTTTAAAGGTTTCTCATTACCCACCTGTCATTTTTTTTAGCGATGCGATGATACAGTGTTATGGCCCTTAAAGGGAATCCCCGAAATGATCATCCAGGTTTTTTGCGTGGTTTTTTCGCTTATTTTGGGGCCGAATTTTTTGTATCTGATGAAGTTTTAAATTTTCCCTCTGTTTACCATATCTGAGAAATTTAAAAATTTTCTCGTTGAATTCATTTGTTTTCTCAGCCCACGAAAATTTGGTTAGTTCCCTGGAGCTTTGCAGTTTTGCAAGGGGAAACACTTCATGCAGTTTGGGGGGTGTCATTGCAAAGGAAGACAGGGTTTTGTGGCTGAATCCTTTCTATGTGGTAAAAGTGGGAAAAAGGGGGAGGAGTACTGTCCCTTTGGGGAAACAGGGGTTTTCCCGTAGCTGCCTGGGACTTTACTTTTTGAGACTACTTTTGTTTTTGTTAGTGAGGAAATTATGACCCATCGCCGACTTTTCTGTTATTCTTAGCACGCATTTTGTGCGCTATTACCCATGGTACACTTGTCGAAGGTTTTTGAAAATCTGTATATTTACATCTGCATTCTTTTTGTCTTCTAGGCATTTAGGCCTTGTCGTAGTGGTCCAATAGTTAAAGCAGGGCGCCCTGTTCAAACCCATGTTGCCGGGGTTTTTGTGTAACTGATGGGTTTCTGAGCGTGGTGATCTTGCTTCTTAGGACCCTTTCAAAGTTTTTATATAGGGGATGTTAGTGCTATTGGTTGTAGTTCTTTGTGTTGCTTTTACTGCCCCTTTGGGGAGTGGGGCTATTCGTTGTTTTTAGTAATGTGGGACGACCCCCGTGCCCTGCCCCCCCTCTCCAGGGGATGAAAAGGCCCGTGATAGGGCTTTTGCATTTCTATGAACACGAGTTCTTGGTTTGGCCCGGGAGGGGGCATGGGATGTCATTTATCCCCTTTTCAAAAGTCTTTTGGCGTCAGGAAAACATGGGAAAGGGTTTGTTTTAAAATTAAAATTTTTGTGGCTTCTCAAAAAAAATTCATTTTGATCTTCGACCCAGTCTGGTTAGCGGCTTGCAAAAAAAAGAGTCAATTGGGACTTGGAGCTCACTCTTTTCCCTTTTTGTCATCGTGTAGGCCCCATTTTTTTAATGGGGGCCCCAATACGGCCGTTTTCTCGATTTTGTTTTGGGATAGGAAAAAGAAATATTTTGGGTTTTTTTCGATTTCTTTTGGTTTTAGTTTTCCCGCGATTCCTGACCCAAAGGATTCTTTTTAGTTAAGTTCGATGTTGCTATTTTTTGCAGTGTTCCCCTCCATTTCATATTATTGACTCTTTTACCGCTCTGTTATTCTTTTTCCGTGCCTGAAAAGGGGCGCCGCTTTTGTTTTAAACTCTACCCCTTTTTTTCTTAGAGGAATAACCCTTTGTGCATACTGGGTGCTACCGAGTTAACTGTTCTGGGGAAAAGTTGGGGTCGTGTTGTTTTAGTTTCTTCCCGCTTTATCGGTTGGACTTGGTTTACTTGGTCCCATTTATTTTTTTTGTTTTAAAAGTTAAATTTTGGTGAATGCTCCCTCGGATAATCTCATTATTCGGTCGGGGGCTCCGGGGCATACATGACGAACTCAATTATGTTGGATCTGGTATATTTTTTTGATATGGTGAATTTCTTACAGATTCATTGTAGTGAAAGATGAGGTCTAGTGTAATT